GGGGGCAGGTGGCCGGGAGGAGCGGGCGCTCGGGGGAGAGCAGGACTCCGGGGCCTCTGGACTGGGGGAGGGGGCAGGGCTGCAGGGGACCCCATCTTTCAGGACGTGCACTGGGGGAAGTGGGGGGACAGGGCTGTCCTCTCCGCTTTGCACAAGGAGGGAGCCAGCAGGCAGGGTGGGAGTGTCTTCCCTGCCCCCCACCGACACCCCAACCTCCGTGAGCCTCGGCAGAGTCCCAGCAGGGAGGCTTATGGGGTGTACCGGGCTCGTCCTCCGTGGGGAGGGCTCTGAGGGCCTTTGTTTCTGGGGGTAGGAAGGTGCCGGGGTGTCACCCAGGGCAAGGCAGCTGACGCTGCTGCTGTCTCGGTGTTCCACGGACGGGCTGATCCCGGCCCCTGCCTGCCTGCCTGTCACCTGGCCTCTGTCTCCCTGCCCGGGCCCGCTCGGCACGCCCAGCGCCGGTCCTGCCGCTACAGGTCTGACGGGGCGGGCCGTGGGTGCCGGCAGGCTGCGGCCGTCCTGGCTGCCCCTCTGCACGCCCGGCGGGTCCCCCAAATGTCCCCCCTCTTGCCCGGTCCTTCCAGGGCAGGTGGAGAACCCCGTCTGTCGGGGGAGCCTCCTCTCCTCTCGGAAAGCACGGTGTCCGGCGGCGGTGGCGGCCGTGGCGGGAGTCCCCTCCCCAGCCCTGCTGGAATGGATGCATTTATTCCCCGGGGAGTCCAGCCCCAGCAGGGGGGCCGGCCGGTGGCCGGGTCCCTGCAGGAGGTCGGGGTGCCAGCCCCTGCCCCGCCAGGACCAGCCCGGTGACGCTGGTTCCGTCTGAGCCCCGAGTCCTGTGTCCGGAAGGGGGGGAAGGGACCCACGCATCCTCGGTGGCCTTTGTCAGGTGACCCGGCCCCGGGCTTGGGGACCCCCGCTTGGCCGGCAGCCCCCTGTCCCCACGCCGGTCCCCTTGCAGGGCCAGGCTGGAGTTGGGATGGTGGCTCCTTCAGCTGGGTCCCTCCCGTTTAATATAAAAAGTGGGGCTCGTAATGGCGTTGAGACGGGTATAATTATCTCGGAGGAGGGTAATTGCAGGCCGGGTCTGAACCGGTGAACGGCGACTGATTCATGGTTTTCTCCGAGTTCTCGTGCCCTCGGCTCCCGGCTCTGCCGTGGGCTCCTGTCTGGGGGCGGGCGTGAGTCCGTCTGCCCTCCTGCTGCCTGCGGGATCCCCCGACCGCCACCGTTCTTGGGGGGCTGTACCGCGGAGCGGCAGCCTTCTTAGGGGGAGCCCCGCGGCCTCTGCTCTGGGACTCCAGCCGAGGCGCCTGTCTTCCGAGAGCCTCGGTTTGTCCGCCTGAGCAGGGCGGGGGCGGAAGAGCTTCCCCGGGGAGAGGGGAAGGCAAGTCCAAAGGCCCTGGGGCGGGGCAGAGGCCGGCTCCCTGCCGGACCAAGCTCTGGGCCTCAGCTTCTCCATCTGTACAATGGGGGCGCCTGGCCACACGGGGGGCGTCTTCCGGGAGCGACGGGGAAGGCGGCTGCAGGCCCAGCTGGTGCCGCCCACGCTCGGAGCTCAGCGCCGGGTGGCCGGGCCCCGCCGGGAGCGGCATGTGGGGGACAGATCCAGGGCGGGGCCCGCTAGCGCCAAGAGCGCGGTTTTGCCAGCCGGCCATGGCTTTCCCTCTTTCGCCCCCGAGAGAATAGCTGTCGTCAGTTCCCTCGTGCAGATGGGGAAACTGAGGGAGGGAAAGGGAAGGGCGCCCCGCTAGGGTCATGCGGCTACAGAGCACCAGGTCTGGGTTTTGTTTTTTTTTGAGACAGAGTCTCACTGTGTTGCCTGGGCTAGAGTGCCGTGGCGTCAGCCT